TGCCCTGGCTGTGTCCAGTGCCAACTTCTTGTGCCCCTCCAGCTTTCTCGCTGGCTGGGCATGAGAAGCTGAATAATCCTTGACTTCAGACTAAACACTACTTAGCAACAACTGAAAACATCAGCGTTATCAACATTCTTCGCATACTGAACTCAAAACATAGCACCGTACCAGCTACTAGGAAGACAGTTAACTCTATCCCAGCTGAAACCAGGACACTCATTAAAGAAATACATATCTTAGGAATGAAATGCCAACAGAAAATAAGAAGAAACAAACGGGAAAGATGGAAATAGATTGCCTCAACCTTTAGCCCCATGTCAGGAATTTATTCTGCTTTTGAAAACATTGGTTTAGTCTTCTGACTCAGATTTTCAGAGGGCTTTTATAATCCTTCAGTAGCGCACCTGTCAGTTAATCCCTTGTTATAATCTATCTTGGATCACCTTACAGGGAGAAAAGCTGATGGATATGGTCCCAGCTCTCTGTGGATTGGCAGGATGAATCATTCTTTGGATACTGAGGAGGATGCACTGGAGGTCAAAACAGCTGTGACACGAGCTGGCACTAGACCAAGGGACCTCTCTCCCCAGATAAACACAGCAGAGCAGAGGATCTGTGATACCTCCCTGCATCCTGCCTTGAGAACATATTATATGCTTCTATTTCCTATACACACTGCATACTTTTCTCTTTTTTTTTCTTTCCTTGCTTTCTAAGTTTGCTTTTCAGAGTCTTCTTTAGCAACACATAATAAATTTAACCTTGCAATGGTTTGCCATGACCAAGCCAAAAGCTACAAGTAAGCATAAGTGGCCTGATTATAAAAGAAACAAGTCTTACTCCAATGTAATAAAGGTGTTTAAAATGTGGTGAAACTGTGCGTTTCCACTGCCTAAATCACTGCAGATATTCTGCACCTTCATGGTTTTTGGTCTTTTTCTTTCCCTTTCTCTCTCTCTGTCTTTAGAAGAAGTGCAAATATACATTCACGACAAAATCTAAGAGCTGCCATTATCTTTTTTCTCAGAAGGGACAGATGATATCATTTATAGTGAAAGTCAAGCTAAGGTAAAATATACAGCTATACTGATGTAGAGACAAAAAGAAATAGCAACTGGAGATATCTCTTAAAGTTTTATCTATTCCCCCCTCTTTCCTTCTTTTTTCCTCCCTTAAGTTTAAAATAACATTTAAATACTTGCTTATGTTGCCAGAGAGCAGCTTACATTGCCAACACAAGTATCTAGGAACAGAAGCCAAACCTTGTATTACTGTGAAATCACAGTAAGAAGGTAACAAATAGGTGTGCATAGACTGTAACATCTTCAACTCCTTCCATATGTAGTCCACCCCATAATTATCTCTCAACAGAGTATTGTGACAGACATGAAAATTCCTGTCTTCTCATATCCATCTGCAGAGCCTTGTTTTAAATTTGCAGCTTGTAAGGTTTGTAGCACCTTATCAGACATCCTTGTTCACTTTGCAGGCTGCAAACACCAGAATTTGTGGATAGTTTCTTAAAGACATGATAATGAGGTGCTTTTCCATAAAATCTACTGAAGAAAGTTGCTTTTTTTTTTTTTTTTTTTACTTCTGGCAGTACCTCAGACATAACAAGATGGTAATTATGGGGAAAGTGGATGTGTAAACGGTGATTCACCGTGTATAAGGTGAAAATCTGACACACTAAAGCCTAAAATAACACTTTTTACCCTCTAGACTACAGATTTGTCTGTAGGTTTATTTTTATCACTTTTTAATTTTATTTTTTTTTAAACAGATAGTAAAATTTCTTTGAAAAAGGCAAAAGAGACAAAATGTAAGAAAATCCCTAAAAATCTAGCTAGCCTACAGAAAAGCTGTGATAAGGTTAAGATTGCACTCTTGCTCATGTTTGAGTATTGTTGAACAGCTACTGAGGATCTGTCGCTTGATACGCCAGGACCTCCCTAATGATATGGGTGTGACGCACGTCCTCTGTTCTCCTCCTGAAGCAGTTTTGTTTATGGAAACTTCAAGCTCTTGATATCAAGGAAAACATTTATTGCAACAGAAGAGAGTAACCCAGGAATCCATGGGGATATGAGTCTTTACAACCTTTGCTTTATTAGACTGATCATCATTTTATAAGCATATTAGAGGTGACAGGGGTCTCTTAGGAAAAGATAGCACCTCCTTTTTTCTTTTCCAAAGTGCCTGTGGGTAGACCCTTACTTGTTTTGCAGTCCTTACAAACATTCAGCATTGGTTGCTTTCTACTTCATTTTTTAAAGATTTAATCCCTCATTTGAAGCTATCAGACTTCTAAAACAAAGATCCCTCATGAGTGCATTTGTTGCCAGCACTCTTTAAATAGGAGCACATTAAAATCAAAGTTTTGACTCCTGGCACAGTGCCTTAATGGCAAATGGCCTTCTCGGGACTTAAACTTGTTCAAGCTGGAGCATCCACAGTGCTATGGGTGGAAATGGAACATCAGGAAAGTGTTTGGGGAGGAAAGGCAGACCTTTCTTCTATCCAACACCCTTCTCATGAAAAGCAATCTGCCCTTCGCCAAAACCTCAGAAAAAGGCTTGCTTGCTTCTTTCTTTCCAGTTTCCTTTTTATGGGAGAAAAGGAGTGCTCTGCAGTGATGCACGCAAGAAAGGATTGCTCTCCAGAGGAGCATGACTACTCTCTCCTAATAATAATAGAAAAGGCAAGCAATCTAAGCATTTACAAGAATTTGGAGCAGAATGGATATACTCAGTTGATCTCTTGCAAATTTGTCCAGTTCCATTTGGAGGTGAAACTCAATTCTCAGCCAAGGGTTTCTGAAGGGACAGCGTTTTTCGTATGGATCTGAGGTGAGAAATCAAGGCTGTATACTCCTTCAGTAACATTTTATTGGGATAGCCCAGCGTTAACTGCACAATACATGAAGCAATACTAATCAGCTAGGCCACCAGGAATGAAGTTGATTCACTTGCTTGTCTAGACGCTAACTTTATCTAAAGGAATGTGCATGTATAGAGGGGACCAACCCAACAAAACGAGGAAGATGAAAGCATAGCTTTGCAGGTTTTTGGTGTACTTTACACCTCAAACACATCACACAGCATAATTTTAGTGCTGCAACTGCTATCAAACATTCTTGAAAATATTGACACCTGAAGCAGAGTTGCCTGTTTAATTACTACTCTCAGGCAGTATGTCTGAGTGTCTGGAAAGAAAGCAAGTATTTTTTTCATTGAGGAATAGAAAGTATTTATTAAAATGTAAACAGTAAAATCAATGAGAGATTGTGTTCCCTAAACAAACAAAAAAAAGCAGCATCAGAAAAACAGAGTATTTTAGCAGAAATGTGTCTTAATTCATTTCCAAAGGTGAAAACAGCAAACAATTACTGAAAAAGCATCTGCCACTCAATGTTTCAGTAATGCCACAGCTTTCCAGTTAAAATCAATGCTTACTTGAAGAAAAGCTTCTGTTACCTCAGGAAAAGAAAACCCAAGATTCCTACCAGAGATCCTTTCCAACTTTCTTTACTGACTTCAGGGAACCATATTCCTCACCTGCTGAGACCTTTTCCATTACCTACGCCAATTCTAAAATAAAATGAACTATTATTTGTACATTCCACTTACTAGTAATTACTAGCAATTTCCACATGTTTACACCATGTCTTGCCTGGTTTTGTAAACTAATAACAAAAATGTGTCTATGTTAAAGATCAATATATAAGCCAAAGAGTCAAGAACCAAAATGCAGAGCTCCCCTGAAAATTCAAGAGGGGGACCTGAACTGAGGACCAAGGCAGAGCTTTATCTGAAACCAGATTCACATCCAGTGACTTCTAGTGTTTGTGGAAATGGCATCTGCACATTCTGCAATAATGAAAGTACAGTTCAAGTAGAAAAGGATACAGCACTCAAAGTAATTTAGATTCTACTTTCTGAAGCCTAATTCAGATTTACAATCATCAAACAAACAATTTTAAATAAAAGGTCTTTGAAAAAGAAGAAACAACCCTAAATATTCCTGTCACTTCCCTCTACCCCCGCCCTGCATCTGCAGTATCTGATTAGTCAAAACTCAAATTATTTTATCTAAAAATTACTATATGTTATTTTCACACAGCAGCAGCTATTGTCATACTATAGTGTTACACGATGACTGCATTTTTTTTAATTTATTGCTGCTTAGCATGTTTCTTTAAAACCTTTCAATTGTACTAGGAATCCAACCTACTATCATTTGTATGCATTTATTGAAGCTTAATGAAAGAAAAATCAGCCTACATTATTTTTAAATGAAAAATTATTTTTGTCCTCTTGTAATTTGCATGTCCTCTCAAATTTCGCCATATTTTTTTCTAAATATTGAACAGCTTGTCTTTTTCCTCCTTCAAATATCATGCCCGCTTCTTCCACAATGTCAACCAAAAAAGCAGCTGACTGTTAGTGATGAATTGCCTTAAGATTACAACAAAGCAAGTAACAAACTTTTATAATAACCCTTTCCCTCCAGTTCTTCAGGCAGTATTAATTTGCATGTAAATTTATAAACTAAAAATGTGGAAGCACCACTCAAGGGAGCTAAACCAACTTCATGTTATTCTAGTAAGCTTGCTTGAAGAAAGCATACTTTTTGCCCAGTCTTGGACATTGGGGAGTCTTGCTTGCTTGCCTTTTGGATGGAAAATTTTGCAAAAACCCTATTTTTCCCTGTTGAAGCCACAGCAGTGTGTTTAAGAGTTACTGGAGCTGCAGAAGTGTAATCACAGTTGTGGGTCTCAGCTCACAGGCTAAGGGTTGCACAAAAGTATCCCACTTAGCAGCACAGTAGTATCCGGTCACAGTCAAAGGCTTTGGGTCTCTTGTTAGTTAACAGAGGATAAGTAGATTCGTAAGCCAAAATGACTGATGAGACATCTGATATGAAATATCACTGTTTAAATAGTAATAATAGGAAAACCTGAGTAAGCAGTAAGCGATATCTAAGGTCTTACTTACCATAAATTCCTGTTGAAATACAGGGAAATGCCTGTAAAACAAATGAAAGAAAAAAAAATCAGTGGGATTTCTGTTTGCTGAACTTTTTATCAAAACCAAGGGTATTTTTAAATGCCTGTTTTTCAACACTCAGAGTTTATATGTTGTAGCCTTCATTCTTATGGCAGTCAATTCACAGGCATTTTCATACTATATGAAGCATATTCCATATGTTTTCCTTGCTGCCATGTTAATAAAGCTGCATTCTTTTTCTCATCTTCAGCTATGAGCAATATTTGAACCTGGAATCATTATTAAAACTGCCTTTTGAGCTAAAAATTAACGCCATGAGCTAAAAATTAATGCCATAAGCTAGTACGGTAGGGAAAAAAAAGACATATTCTCTAGGTAGAGTTAGACAATATTTCTTCAGTAGTAAAATAAGCTTGGCCAGCTTAAACCCTGCCCTCCATGGCCTCTTTGCCATGCCTTCGTTCATTATAACCTCCTTCTTTGTTTCAGAGCCTTTCCTTTTGTTACAAATATTCTGATACGTTAAAATTTTATATAAGGGTTTGATCAAAAGGTAAAGACTGTAGAATATAGGGGTTTGAAGCTCGCAATGTAGTCACCGAAACTTAGGAACATACAAAATGTGCTGTATACAGTCATAAGAAAATAAGTATTGTCTAAAATTAGTTAACCATAGAAACTTCGACCGATTTGTTAGTTTGTAGTGTTTTGTCCTAAGAAACTAAGAGAGATTGTTATAGACCTTAGTTCTGTTGCTTAGAAACCCCACTTTGATCAAGATTCCAGTTAGTGGAATTAAGTAAGATTAACCAATGAATATTTTAGTATAAGACTATTGATAAGATGGTGTGACTGAGGGCCAATCACTAGAAACGTTAAATTCAAGAATTAACATTGAATGTACTTTTATGTAAATCTAATACATGATGGCGAAAATCATACTGTGCAGAATCACATAAGAGAGGTCAACTATCGGACAAAGTGAGGAAGACTATGGAAGACCACCAGAGGGCTTCTGAAGACCACCAGAGACTTCACCACGCCTGCGTAAAGAGACATTTACATATGCTAATGATTTATCCGACAGTTGATGATTATGTATGACATTTCCCAGAAATTTAGTGAATATAACAGGTGTGTATTTAACCTGCATGATTAAACTAGACAGGTGCACACACTAGGTGGAGTGATCCCCTGTGTGTCCAGCACTGCAATAAAGAAGTTCCTGCTTCTTAACTTCTCATTGCTGTTGGAGTTTTATTCTGGATTTCGGTAACAATTTTTAACCTCAGTTCTGTCAGACATGTGGTTTATGGTGTGACCCAACACAGCTGTACTAGTACAAGTCAAAGGCTTGCAAACTGGTGCAGGGATAGGAACTAGAAGATGCTGGGTGAAAAGAAAGAGTACATTTTGGGGTCAGCTCAGACACCAAAGAAAATGCGTCATGCAACAAGAGATGGTTATAGACACTGTGCCAGCAGGAACAATAATTTACGTTTCTCCTAGCTGTACGTGTTGTCTACAGATTTGCATTTCTGTGAGCCAGAGTCAGTTTTCCACCAAAAGAAACCAAAGCTGTATTGCCCACAAGGCTTCACAAGAGAGACAGTTTTCTTTGTGTGCAGTTGATATGTGGTATCACCTTTGCCTCCCGCCTCTGGACTGACAGAAAACACAGCTCAAAGGTACAAGAGCACCTGGGACCAAAGTCTCAAATATCCACCCTCAGGCTCCCTCCAGATCCCCTGGCAATGAGTCATCATACAAAAGAAAGGGATTCTTCTTTACTTAATCACACAGGAGAACATTATTCAAAGCTAATGCTTGCTTTATATTTAACTAGGGAATTAATTAGGGAATGGTGATTAAGAAAGGAGAGGTCTAATGGAAAGAATACATCCTCCCCTCCCCTCTGAAAATACTTAAGTAAAATAAAGTGGGGGAGAAATATAGTGTCATTCCTTCTCACAACCACTACAACTTACATCCTGAAAAATACTTAGCTTTGTAGTTTGTACCCAATAAATAGCAACAAATCAGCTCTTTAAGGAAATGGGGGGGGGGGGAGGGGAAGCCCCACACATGGTTACAGAGCTCAGGCTGAGGTGGCAACAGGGGCTCCAGCAATAAGAGAGAGGCATCAAGGATGATTTTGTCCAGTTTAGCAACAGATTTTAAAATTCACAACTGTTGAAGTTTCACATGTTAAGAGAGAATTTCTCCAAACAAGTCTTTTATTTTCCATTCTTTTCCACAACTTCAGTAACAGCGTGTGCTTTAGATACTCTTATTGGTCACGGGGGGGAATGAGTAACAGAGTATTCAGGGTTCCTTCTCTTACTGGCCCCACAACTCTGGGCAAGGGGAAACAGTCCTGCAGCACCTCTGAAATCCCGTCAGTCCTGCAGCTCCCTTGGGCAACACCACACATGGTACCTACAGTAAGCAGCACCACCACTGATGACTTCAGATCCCCACGCATGTGGCAAAGCCACCCACCTCAGTGAGCACGAGCTGGGGCAGCTCTGCAGCCCCTGGGCAGCAAAAGAGCACTGTGCACCAGCTCCCTCCATGCTTCTGCAGATTTATCATCTGTGCAGAGCAAAGGGTATATGACTGATATGGCGTCCAAGCAAGATACATCTACTTAAAGCCCTGATGGTGATCTTGAGGTATTTACAAGACCGGTCAATGCACTATGGGACAGGCTCAGCACACACTGCCAAGATCTTGCACGGCAGCTGTATTTATTTGGGCCCCTGGACCTGAGTGCCTGAAGGGAACGGGCTCCAGGGGACTGGGCTTCCTTTTCAGCTTTGCTTGGAGAAGACCAGACAACTGCATTTTCAGCATTGCATGGCAGATGCTTGTCGAATTTGTTCATCTCCATTCACAGAATACGCTGCTCTGAGGCTGTTTAGCAAGCTTTAGCTAGCAATTTGTGTGTTGCGTGTGTTTCTTAATACCTACTTTAAGATTACTGTGTAGACATGTCATAATCATTACCTTGCTTTCAGTTTCTGTCATGCAGCTGAAACACATCTGAATGGAGCTACAAGAGTGTGTAAAATCTCATCGAGCTCCTTCCGAATACCAGTCTGTGCCATAACTTAGATGAACTCTGCCCTCTCCCTCATTCAGAGATGATCACAGCATATAACCAGCAGATGTAATTTCATAAAATGTGACAGTGCTTTTATTCATTCAAGGAAGGCCCGTGCCTGAGATCACATATCAACTCTGTTTCCTCTTGGCTCCTAGGGAGACAATTTAGTCTAGATGCCAGGTTGAAATTACTGGCAGAGCAGTAATGGGGAACTCACAGCATGGATATCAACATACTACAATACTTGGCTTATGGACAAAAGATGTTAAGGTTTCTAACCTTTTCTGTGCATAATAATATCTTAATTATATATTTGATTTCAATAAAAAATTCAGTTTCACAGTAGGAAACATTCATTCCTATTTCCACAATAAAACATTTCTCATCTTAATTTGTTGCTGGTAACTGCTATTTATTGACTAACTAACCTTTAATTCCTTTGCTACTGAAATAGCGTGTTTGCTTTACTTTGGGGGTAATAAGAAATGCTACCCTGACAGCACCCAAAAAGGATTACAACTCTGGAGTGAAACACAAGTAAGAACAGTGAAAGCTTCCTACTACTACGCTGCTGCCATCATTTAAAGAAAGAGGCCAAATTAAATCAGCTGTATGAATACTGTAAGACTGAAATTGATTTAATTCCTGTAGGAGAGGATGTGGGTGCTCAGGCTCTGGTACTTTTTAATCTAATGTTTCTTTACTAAGGCTACAGCAGCAGTGCTAATTAGGATGAAATGTAATGGAGTTTCATGAGGAAAATTTACAATAGTCACCATGCGGAGGCCAAGTTGGACTCTAAGACATTTCAATAAGAGGGACCTGGGTATTTAAATACTTAAGGGCTTCTCTACAACAAGGGGTTCTAGTTCACACTGAGCTGCAATGTATTAACTGTTGTACATTAGATGAATACAATTGCTATGTCTACATGACCAGATGCCTCCTACTGCCATCCTAATAATTGCCTCCACAGAGCAAGGACTTTCTTCAAATTAAGTGCTTGCCGTTCTGCACCAGCATCCCAGTGTGATTTCTGCCATGACCAAGCCACACATAAGGTAAGCACTTTTCTTCCAGCACATAACAGCAGACAAAAATAATATCAAACACAAATTGAGCTTTCTCTGATTTTACTGCATCACTTCACAAAGCGGACTGACTTATACTCATGTTTGAGAGCCATTCCTTCATACAACTTGCATTACTGAATCTTCACAAAGAACTGATGAACTTTTAAAAAAGTCGTCGTTTTTACTAAAATTGCAAGTAGAAACATTTTTTATCTAATTGTTCAACAAAGTAAAAAATTCTTAGTATCTCTGGGTTGAAGATAGTTAAATGTGTTACACACAAAACAACCAACACAAGCTTCTCCGGCAAGTGCAAAGTAACAAACATTCCCTCCCCCCAAAATTGGCCATATACTTTATACTTTGACTTTTTTCTTGGTCACTCTCCTTGCTAGCTAGGGCCTGTGCCACCACTGTAGGAAAGCTTGCAACTGAACAAACCTAAGGATGTTAAAAACGACTACCATTCTCAGCATCTTGGTCTGGAGGAGCTGAGGAGCAGTACAGGAGCCTCCATGCAGCAAACATGCTCCATGTAGCCCCAGCGCTCCGTGACCTATGATAGAGGTCTTCTGCTAGAGGAGGAGCAGATATCTGATGCTGGGAAAAGATTTATTCAACAAGCAGCTTGCTCCTTTGTGATCTCCAGAAGTTGCCTCTTCATCTCCCTGTTCTTTTCCATAAACTGAGGTAGCAGCCAGCCTTTGCTCGATGAAGATGATGCCCCCTCTATCAGCTCAAGCTGGGCTACTTCCCTTCCCCGTCATCTTCCTCCAGAGCCTGCGGAGCCTCACGCGCTCCTGAGCTGCCTGCCTTTATCCCCTTGACATTGCTAGG